TTAAATAATTAAAAAAAAGTAGGTACCTATCAAATATATAAATTAAAAAATATGCCTATAAACATACCACAGGTATATAAAATTGTAGAAAGTTAATTTAAATAATATCTGAACAATAAGTGAAAAAATGTTACTTACAATTGTCCTGTATATCCAGGCAGACAGCTGCATTCATATTTGGCGATAAGATCGAGACAGGTGGAATTGTTCTGGCATTCGTTTCTTTCGCATTCGTTAATATCGACAGAACAATCTTCGGCTGTGAATCCAGGCTGACATTGACATTGGTATGTCTTTTTAGGATCGATGCAGTAACCGTCATTGAAACAGTCGGTGTTAAAACATAATTTACAATCCGTTTCAAGCCAACGTTTTTCCAATTCGAAATATTCAACGGGTTTCTTACCATTTTGGTAAAGATCTTCAGCAGTAAAGAAAGGAACTAGAAGATGACCTATGCGAACCTCACCCATACAACCCTAAAAGAGAAAAAGATTTGACGATTACTGTAAATTTGAAGTATTTGAAGATTTTAGTAAATAAAGTTAAGGTTTAAATTATACTGCGCCTATTATTTTATCTTTATTTTTTCTCCATAAAATTTAGTTAAAAGAAGCGTTTTTGGAAAAGTGCAATATACATAGGCTAAGTAAGAACCTTGTGAAACTTCTACAAGTGTTTGTTTGCTATTATTCTTAGTCAATTTGTAGCATCAAGAGCTATTGGCGAAGTACTATTGTAAAAGCTGCTTGTCTACGAGTCAAATCCTATGCGCACTACCTTCCTGCGCATTTTACTACCGAGAACAAATTAGTGGCGCTCTCTCACGGCTCATGCCGTACATTAAACAAGCCTTGCAATTTTTACTCCTACGTCTAGCCATCTTGAAAAAGCTTTTGGGAAAGCTATGTATATAAAAGTGGTAGTAATAGAGGTCAAAAAAGCAGAATCAACCATCCGAGGAATAAATTAAAAAAAATCTACTCACTTTGAAGTAGTCGGTGTTTTTATTGATATCAGCCTTGTACGAATAGAAGGGCACATCTGTAGTAACAACATTTCCGGGCAAATCGATTGCACTACTTGTAAATATTGAATCGGTCGTTGTTTCGGTTGTGACTTTCGTACGCGTACCGTTCATTTCTATCATGTTAATAACACCCCAATAATCGAAAGTTTTGTTATCACTTCCCCCGACGTATATCGAGCCCTTTACCATCATTTNATTTTTATTAAACTACTTTACAGGACACACTCAACACTAACACACAATTGCACGTTAACTTTCAGACGGTATTACATAATGTAAATATTGACGAGAAATAAAGAGAACATTAACAGAACAAATCTAAATATTAATTACAAATAGTAAAATAAGCACTGTTTATTCAGTTAAGTATATAATATCATCTTCTTGGTCACCATTTCGTTTGATACATTCCTATTCATACCGACATGTACTTTTATAAATAAGTAGATAAAATAAAAACTTTCTATTGTATACAAATACGTATCTGCCTATCATTTATTAAGTCCACGTCGAAAAGAAACTTCAACAAAAATTCGACTACAATAAAAAGATACATAGTATGGTTTGGTTTTTAACATAAAAGACAACTGGTTCTCGTGACAATTCTTCCATTTGAAATATGAATTAAAAAATTTAAATATTATACAAACTGATAAGTAAAAATATAACTGATGTTGAGGAAAGAAAACGAAATAATAAGAAGAAAATAAACGGGTAAAACTTTTTGTGATACTTGCAAACAAATTTTAAAAATACTATCCATTTACGATGATCGCGCAAGAAATTGTTAAAATAAGTATTTAAAAAAAACACCTTTTACGAATAACTTTATCAGTTATCCTTGTTGAAGTTTCGTACTAATACTTACAGCCACGATAAAAAGTATTAAAAAAAAAAAACAGTTTCCTATCGTTACTTATGTAAACGCTATTTAAGTACTTAAATAAGTCTTTCTTCGGGCGGGGGCTTAAGTACATGGTCTAATTCGACTCTAGGATTGCAAAATTCCTGGGCACTCGGACTATATGTGCCTCGAGTTGCACGTTTACTTCGAGCCATATTTACTAATATTACAAGACCTATAACCATACCTATAACCACTAATACCACAATTGGGATCACAATATATAAAATGTTGACTCCGTCACTTCGAACTGCTGCCAATATCTACCACAAAACGAATATATTATTTACCAATTCGTCATTTTTTGTGATAAAAAAAAAAAACCGAATCAAATATTTCATTATCTGTTTGAGTGAAATTGATTTTAAACGTATTCATCAGGAATTTCATCTTACTTGAAGTCAATAAATAATTGTAACCATTTTTTAAGACACAAGCTTTAGAAAATAAGAAAATGCTATTTTGATACTAGAGAAAGCTATTTTATTAAGAAAGCTTAGTATTCAAGTCTATTTCAGATTTTAATAAGTTTGGGAGGTGAAAATTTGAGCGAGTCACAATATTTTTTGTGTAACGAAATAATTTTTTCAAAATAAATGCATTATTTTAAATTAATTTTTTCTTATGTACCTGCGCCTGTTAAAAAATGTATTCATCCGGTACATTCATAATAATAATTGTGGGTAGTGGGAGCCCCTACTGGCCCCAATCATCTAACTAAGACGACCG